CTCTCTCTCTCTCTCTCTCTCTCTCTCTCTCTCCCCCTCCCCAGACCTCTTACTTTGCTGAAAGGCAGAGAGCACAGAGACCGCAGCCAGCAGGACTGAATTCCCAGCCATCTGTCACAGGACCCAGCTGCTTCACGAAACTACTTGTAGAAATCAAGGCGGAACAGTTTTGCAATGCTGACCTTCCTTATAAGGTAAAGGAAGCCGGGGATGAGGGGAAAAAAAAAAAAAAAGATGATTCCAGCGGCTGAGTGACCTTTGCTCTGGAACAGAAACAGGAATCTGGAGGGCGGGCCCAGCTGGGCTGCCAGTCACGGGTCATTATCAGGCCGTGGAGTTGCTTCCTGAACTTGGTTCAGGTCTCAGGTCTCCAGCCACAGGCTGCAGGATTCGCCTCGAGCAACAGCACCTGCAGTTGAACCATTAAACCATCTTCTCGGCCAACTCAAAAACAATTTCCCCTCCTGTTCCTCCACCTCCCACTCTTCCCCCTCCTGCTCTTCCCACCTCTGGACCCCTGCTGACCCCTCCCCGCTCCCAGGCTTTGCTGAGACTGTCCTCTCCTGTGGAAAAGGGAAAGATGTGGCAACATTTATTTAGTTCCATTGAGATTAAAATGATTCTAACTTTACTCTCCAGTAAATGGCAGACTCAGAATTTGAACCCAAGACCAGCAGATTCCTTCTGTGCCCTCTTCCCTGTACCATGCTGCCACCCACTGTCACCTTGGCTATCCCAATATCATGGTGACCATAATTTTTTTTTTAATTGGCTAGAATTGACATATAACATTGTATTGCTTTCAGGTATACAACATAAAGATTTATGGATAGATCACAAAATGATCACCACAGTAAGCTGAGTTAACATCCATCATTTTGCTATTGGGACAAAAAGGGGTCCATCTGCCTGTGTGTGTCTCAGCCAATGAAGAGCTACATGCAGGTTTTTGCAGCAAAGAAAGTTTTATCAGAGAGCTTCAAATCCCAGAGACGTAGGCAAGCTGCCACTCACAGGCCTGGATCCCCAACTATCTCAGGGGTACAGATTATATAGGGAAAAATCAGCAACCATAGAAACTGGGGGATTTAAGGTCGTGCCCTTGCATAACCATAAAGATTCAAAGACATTGGAAATGAAAATGGCTTTTCTTGTCATGTGGTTCAATGTTATCTAAAATCAGACCTTGAGCGTCACGTTTCAGCCAAGTAAGAGGAATAAGCTCTAGAGATCTGCTGTACAACAATATACCTCTAGTTGATAATATATACTAAAAAAATTTTAAGGGGATAGATCTCTTGTTACATGTGCTTACCACAATAAACTTTAAGAGGTGTCTATGCACCTCTTAAAACAATCTCTTCTATGCTCAGTGGTATTCAACTCATAAGTTCAAGCCCAGGCAATAGTCTACAATAGTCCTCTTTGGAGCAGAGAGATGGACAAGAAACCAATGTCGCCACCGCAAGGATCATGACTTGCCCGAAGGGATTCAAACTTAGTAAAAAGCCTGACAATTGGACAATAGTCCAATTGTCATTTAAAAAAATGAAATCTCATAGTTTGAAATTTTTTCACAAGGAATACATCAGAACCAGATTATTTTACATGCGCATTCTAACACCTTTGAAGGAACGCACTCTTCCAATCTTATTTAAATGCTCCGAGAATATAATTCTCGAATCGTTCTTGACACTAGTATAATCCTGACATCAAAATGAGACAGGACCATTACAAGAAAGAAAAATGGAAGGCCAACCTCACTCATGAACACAGATGAAAAATCCCAAAGTATTAACGAAAGAACCGAGCGATGTGGTATAAATGGTGACATGTGCCATGTTTTTAGAAGCACTTTGTCATGAGGGTGAAGTATAAAGGGTCTCGCAGCAGGCAAATTCACGGTGGTTATGGGGGAACATTCTATGGGGGTCTGAAAAGGCAAGAAGAACAAGATGATCAAAAACACTACAAATACATGTTTAGGGCAAGCTTTCTGAAGTTCTTACAGGTGTCCGATCTGAGGAGATGGTCATGGGCAGAGGATAATACTAACCCACTTCTGTTTTGAAGTAGAGAGGAGGAAATAAAGATAGAAAAGATAGAAAATCGATAGCATAACTAATCCATCTTGAGGCTACTGACCTCTCAGGGGGCTCTCTGACTAAACTTCCATGCCCAGAGATGCAGAGCACTACCTCCTAAAATCGTACCCTCTGGATCTGCAAAATGGGTGGGTAGAGACGTCACGCACTGGGTAAATCAAGCTTCGAGGATTATGAGAAGGGTCTTGGGCGTGAGGAGTGGTTATCTCCTCTCTGTACACCTTCCCCCGAATCAGAATTGTGTGTACGTGGCCGACCCAGATCCCTGAAGGTGAGAGAAGCGTTACTTACTGTGCACGAAATATTCTCTCAAACTCTGGTGACCCAGAGACTGCTGGAGGCATAACTTTGTATTTTAATCTTGCCTTTCCTACCTGCAAAGCAAAATAACCTGCAAGTAAAGAGGAATTAATGTTAAAATCTGCCACAGCATTATTCATTAGTAAAATACCATTTTAAACCACAGTTAGATACTACTACGTACCTATGAAAAGGTCTCAAATTAATGTCTAAAAGACAGGTCATACCAATGAACAAAGAAAGACAGGTGAGAACAAGAGAGACTGGAACTCTCACCCACTGCTGATGGGAATGAGAAAGGGTACAACCACTTTTTAAAAAACCATTTGGAGGAGATTTTTCAGTTAGACTTACCTGACCATATGATTCGGTCATTCCACTCCTAGGTATTTCAAGAGAAATGAGAGCATATGTCCACACAAAGACTCGTACACAAATGTTCACAGCAGCTTTATTTGTAATGGCCAAAATTCAGGGACAACTCTGTGATGGTTCATTTTAAATGTCAACTAGGGTAGGATATGGGGCTCAGTTGTTTAGTCAAACACTGGTCTAAATGTTGCTGTGAGGGATATATCTTCAGATGTGATTAACATTTAGATCAGTAGACTTTGAGGAAAGCACATTATCCTCCTTAATGTGGATGGGCCTCATCCAATCAGTTGAAGGCCTTAAGAAAAAAGACTGAGGTCCTCAAGGAGGGAAAAATGCCTCTCCTTCCAATCTTATTTAAATGCTCCGAGAATATAATTCTCGAATCGTTCTTGACACTAGTATAATCCTGACATCAAAATGAGACAGGACCATTACAAGAAAGAAAAATGGAAGGCCAACCTCACTCATGAACACAGATGAAAAATCCCAAAGTATTAACGAAAGAACCGAGCGATGTGGTATAAATGGTGACATGTGCCATGTTTTTAGAAGCACTTTGTCATGAGGGTGAAGTATAAAGGGTCTCGCAGCAGGCAAATTCACGGTGGTTATGGGGGAACGTTCTATGGGGGTCTGAAAAGGCAAGAAGAACAAGATGATCAAAAACACTACAAATACATGTTTAGGGCAAGCTTTCTGAAGTTCTTACAGGTGTCCGATCTGAGGAGATGGTCATGGGCAGAGGATAATACTAACCCACTTCTGTTTTGAAGTAGAGAGGAGGAAATAAAGATAGAAAAGATAGAAAATCGATAGCATAACTAATCCATCTTGAGGCTACTGACCTCTCAGGGGGCTCTCTGACTAAACTTCCATGCCCAGAGATGCAGAGCACTACCTCCTAAAATCGTACCCTCTGGATCTGCAAAATGGGTGGGTAGAGACGTCACGCACTGGGTAAATCAAGCTTCGAGGATCATGAGAAGGGTCTTGGGCGTGAGGAGTGGTTATCTCCTCTCTGTACACCTTCCCCCGAATCAGAATTGTGTGTACGTGGCCGACCCAGATCCCCGAAGGTGAGAGAAGCGTTACTTACTGTGCACGAAATATTCTCTCAAACTCTGGTGACCCAGAGACTGCTGGAGGCATAACTTTGTATTTTAATCTTGCCTTTCCTACCTGCAAAGCAAAATAACCTGCAAGTAAAGAGGAATTAATGTTAAAATCTGCCACAGCATTATTCATTAGTAAAATACCATTTTAAACCCCAGTTAGATACTACTACGTACCTATGAAAAGGTCTCAAATTAATGTCTAAAAGACAGGTCATACCAATGAACAAAGAAAGACAGGTGAGAACAAGAGAGACTGGCACACGCAGGTAGGTAGCGCTTCTGCGTAGGTCTAGGTGAACCAGGAGCCAGCCCGGGCGCTTCAGCCCTAAGTGCTTCTTAAATGGTAATAAACATCCTGAAAAGATTGCGAATCAAACTACGAAATGTGTCTCAGGGTATAGTATTTTCATAAATCCACAAAGCAGACGGGCTAGGCAACACATTGGGTATGAGCAAGCGGACTTTATCCTAAACTGTGGTGCTTCGTGCTTCTGGCTGCGGTGCAAGCCACAGCCCCGCCCTGTCTCCTGGCACAGCGGACTTGGAAAGATAAACAGGTGTGCCTGGGAAGACATCTTGCCCGCCAGTGCTCAGACCCTTTCCCCCAGTTAGCAGGGAAGAGACTATGAATTGAGCAAATGGGATCCCTGTGGAGAAAGAGCCCTCCATTACACCAGGCATTTGAGATACTGAGTAATCCTAGTGGGAAGGTGCTTTAAAATTTAGAATTAATTACTTAATCTGAAGCTCACATTTCTGTAGGAGAATTTTCTAAACCTGGTATCATCCCTGCCATGGGCAGTGTATTTAAGAAAATGCATTAATTAAAAGATCAGGGTTTAAGAAATCACAACCAGCGTTCACAAGCAGGTCCAAGGTTACCTTTGGCATACTCGTAATTAATATTCACAGGCCACTTCCCCCAGGTGAGCACACTTCCAATGGGCTTGAACTGGGCTGTGGGGTTGTAACCACAGGTAACTCAGAATCGCTGGGCTCAGAGGGTCCACATGGGGAGAAATGACCCCTGGAATGGTCCACACCTCTGCCCGTCCCCAAGGAAGGAAGCACTGATGGCCCTGAGCAGACTATGTTCTTTGGAGCACATGAGGCCACCAGCAAGTAAGAACGAAACCCAAAAACCGGACCGCCCTCCCTCTGCCTGCCACACACATGCACGTGCACACGCTCGCGCGCGCTCTCTCTCTCTCTCTCTCTCTCTCTCTCTCTC